AGATATATATATATATATTTTGAACCTTTTTATAATTGGTACCGAAAGAATATATTAATATTAATATATTAAAAAGGTTTTTAAATATTTTTTAAAACATCAAAATTCTTGTGTATCAGTACATTTCAAAACCACAAAATAATAACACTAAATATTCAGAGAAAATTCAAATTCAAGTGTGTCAGCACTTCAATCAGCAGCTTTTCCCAAGGAGGTGAACTTCAACCTGTGAATAACAAGAATGGATGGTTAACCAGCTAAACTTGACACAGCTTAGAAAAACTTCTCATGTTTAGGAAACAAAAACAAAAAATTATTAAAATTAGCTTATACACAATTTAAAATTATATTTTGGAGAATTTCATAACATGACATATCTCCATTACAACTTAGTTCGATTACAAGGATGTATAAACCAAACAAAACATGACAATCTGACAAAAACAATTTGTTCAACCATTGATCATATTGTTTTACAGTTTACCTGATAAGGGGCTTCCGTTGTGGCACAGGTGCAGGGATCCCACTAAATAATGGCACCGTCAGCTCCGCCGACTTAGCAAAGTGTGTACACAAACAATAAAGGAATAGTCAGAACAATTTAAATTTTGGGATAACGATATGCTAATATAGGTTTTTTTTTAACATTTTGACACTATATATATGTGTCATTTTTTCAAATTTATCTTATGTCTAAAAAATAAATAATGAATGAATGAAAAAATGACACCATACTGTATCAAAATGTTTGTAGAAAAACTATGTTTCTTAATGCTATTCAACGGTACAAAAATCATGTAATTTTCACACTAAGTAACAGAAAATAATTACTAAGGATGAAGAGATTCTGCAAAACATATGCAGGTGTCAACTTAGTATGAATTGTAAACTCACAAGAGTCTGAATTAACAATATAGTCTAAATGATAAATCTACATGGACATCAGATAATTTCATCATTTACTTATGGTCAATTTCTTAACATTTCTAATATCATCGTGTATGATCCATGATTGTTACACAAGATTGCAAATGTTTTGTATTTGTGATATATGAAAAGTTAACCTCGAGGTCTTCTGAACCACCGTTTGAGTATAAACAAGTTGCAGAAGCAGTGTCCTTCTGAGGAATAATTGGCTCCTGTGAGTTTGAAGAGTCTAAGTTGCTGCTGTTTTTCATATTCTCACCAAAATCTTTGACTTGATTTCTGTACTCAAGCTCATCGGATTCCTCTGAAAAGACACGGTATGCATCATTTGGACCACACATAATCTTCTCAATAGCTAGCTTTTCAGCATCTTTTGAAGTAGACGATCCATTGGCATCCCAATCCCCATGACATTCCCTTGTAGATTCCAAATCAGGTTTCTCACTCTGTTCTTCACTGGTACTAATGATTTCCGAGTCATTACATTTCTCATAGCAACAACTAGCAATGACAACAGGATGAACTTCCCTCGTGGAGGGAGACAAAGATGCAAGGGACTTGGAATTTCTCAAGCTATCCGCACTATCTTCAGCTAGTTTTCTCTTCCTGCCATGGTTGGCTCCTGTTGAAAATATTCATGTATAAATTTAAGTTCTACGAATCAGATAACACTCTTTATCAAAAATCTTATAATGAATTAATCTATTTTCTCGTTTCTATCAAACTTAAACTCATATTTCTCGTTTCTACGAACCAGAAATACTTAATTCTGAACCCCGCTTACTCTCCCAAGCTAGTTTAGATGGGTGTGAAGGTCGAAGGCCACCAGGAAATACGAAGGTTGGTATACTACGACGTTTCACATGAAAGACATGGATATCCATTCCAGGTTTCCATAGAGTGTACATGTTGACAGAAT